AACAAACAAACAAACAAAAACCTCTTTAATTTAAAGCCATGAATAGTAAACTTTACTTTGCGTGTGATACAACCCTAAATTTTTGAGACTATCCTGAAGAGTAGACTTAATGTTATAACCTCTTATTCTTCCATTTTCATTTTTGGAAGCACAAGTAAAGATGGATTTATTTTGACTGAATGTGAAAATAATAATCATCAATATGGTTGCAGCATTTTCTCTCTGTTCACTCTGGACTCATCTTTTTCCAGTTCCCAATCTCATTTGCATGAACCCGATGATGTTGAGTATGGATATTGCAGAGGAATGATAGCTTCCGTTTCATATTGAAGCCGAAGCTTCCAAGAGAAGATTAAAGAAGTGTGTGTTATCTATCTGCACAGGCCTGATAGGAAATTCTCAGAGGCTTTTAGGATGAACACTACTCTGTGTGTGTGTGTGTGTGTGTGTGTGTGTGTGTGTTTGTTTGCTTTTTCTTCCGCATACTTCTATTGTGGTCTTTGCATTTGGGTTTAAAATTTCTAGTTTCAGACTTGTTGGAGTCTCTGGCTAAGGGATAATTGTTTTCAAAGTGTAGGATAAGAATTAGAAGATGTTGGCAGGATTTCACTAAATGCTGCCTGAAGAGTGTAGAATTCTCTAGTGTGGAGTCATCTTCCAGAGAATGTGATGAAGGCCATCCACGGGATATGTTTAACAAGACAGGATCAAGACCTAAGTGTGTGCAGCAAAGAATAAGCCATGGCACCCTCCAGTGAGGGATGAGGTTGCTCACCTTTGGACCTTGCTTTTTTATTTTTGTGAAATTTTATGTGTTTATTTGAGCCAAATTGACGATATATGCTGGGGGGTAAGATCTCAGATGTGCTGCAGAATAACAGTTTTGTGGCTTCTGTATGAATTTGAAATGAAGGAGGGGATGTAAGGAAGACTGGATAGAGAAAGCAAGGCGGGGGGTTGGATTATCGGATAGTTAACAAGATCATGTGCTCTCTTGAGGGTTATTACCCACTTGGAGGGGTATTACTTGTAGTATTTCAAAAGTGTGTTAACCTAAGGGCACAAGAAGAATGCATGGGGCTGGCTTAAAACCTTTCACTAAAGAAGTTATAGGCTTGGGGCATGACCACCCACCATGACCTGCCCAGTTAGGAATCCGTGATCGGATCACCCTGTGAGGTTTCTTTCTGTAAAACCCCATTTTTTTTGCCCACAATTCCACCTTTAGGTCATAAATCAATCCGAAGGAAGCATCAATGACAAACCTTTTGGTTGGATAATATGATCTCAGAGCACTTGGAAGACTCATTCCTAGGAGGTCTCGGTATCAACATCATTTTATTGGTCACTGGGGATGGGGCAATACTATAACTGTGGGATCTGAGTTGAGGATGAATTTTTCTCAAAAAGGGAAGGGCAGGTAAGTGGAAGGCAGTCAGGTCTTACGTTACTTGCCTTTTAGAAGTATACTTTGTGAAGTGAGCTGTAGGGTAAGTGTGTGCGTGTGTGTGTGTTTTAATAGACTTTCTTTTTTTTTTAACTTTATTGGGGAACGATGTGTTTTTTCCAGGACCCATCAGCTCCAAGTCAAGTCATTGTCCTTCATTTTAGTTGTGGAGGGTGCAGCTCAGCTCCAAGTCCAGTTGCCATTTTCAATCTAGTTGCTGGGGCACAGTCCACCATCCCATGCGGGAGTCAAACCGGCAACCTTGTTGTTAAGAGCATATGCTCTAACCAACTGAGCCATCTGGCCGCCCTTTAACAGACTTTCTTTAGGGTTGTTACATAATTCGTACTTAGAGTAAGAAGAGGGGGGAAAAGGTAGGATAGCAAGATAGTTTTATACCTTCTGAAAAAGATGGGAACTAACATTCCACTTGATAACACTCCATTTCAAGTTCTATATATGATTTTTATTGACAGAAATATTTAAATACAGTGTCAAGAATAAAGCTGGGGCTGGCCGAGTGGCACGTTGGTTAAGAGCTGGCTTGGGACTCCAGCTCTGTACAGCAGGGCCCCGGTTCGGATCCCACATGAGGGCCAGTGACACTGCGCTCTCTACAGCTAAGATGGTGAACAACAGCTCAACCTGGAGCTGGGCTGCTGTGAGTCGCCGGCGACGGCACAGGCTGCAGCTCGTGCTGCAGTGGGCTGCCATAAGCTACCATGTGTGGCCAGCAGCCAGCGTGAGCGGCCAGCAGCCGGTGTGAGCTGCCAAGAGCCGCAGTGAGCGGCTGTCCAGAGGCCGGTGACTAATCTGCCTCACCCGGGAAGAGCGCAATGATAATACCAACATGGGCCAGTGAGGCGACATCCTCCACAACTAGACTGAAGAATCCAAAGAACAGCAATTTGTCTGCTCCCCTTCCCTGAGTTCCCAACACTGTTCCCCTCTCCCAATTCCCCAATATAATCTTTAAAAAAAAAAAGAATAAAGCTGATTCTACTACTACTTACCATCCACTAGAAAGACCTGCTACTTTATTTGATACTGTTAAATCTAACCTTTCTTCATAATCAGCCTTCTTAAGACACAGCTCCTATTGGCAGAAGCAGTACTCTTAGTATATATGAACTCACAACATCTTCTTAACTAACAAGAGAAACCAGATAACCAGGGGCACTTTACAGTAGTAGAGAAGGGAACTGAAAATATGTGTATGAGTTGGAGTGGGGATTTGGGGAGAGAGAACAAAAGAAGAGACTGAGATAATCAATAACATATTTTATCTATTTAACAATTTGCCAAGAGTTGGCCTTTTAACTACCACTGCACGGCTAAGTTTTTTTTCTGGGTCAATGAATGAAAACAACATTGGTTAGCAAAGTTCCAGCTATTGCCGTTATTAACATTTTGGAACGCTCACACTTGCACATGCTCACGCCCTAATTTCTATTTTTTGAATTGGAGGTTGGGTAATGACTGGAATCAAAGGTGAGGGAAGCACCTCCAAAGAAGATAGAAAATAGCAGGAAAAGATGACAAACTGCTCACCCCTTTGATAGTTAGCTGTGTTTTACAGAAAGGAGTTTTATGGAAAACTCTTCACAGTGGCCAGGTACTGTGGGAAGCCGCACTGTCTACTAGGCGGAGACTGACCCATCATACTAACACATACAACTTACTTACGTTACAGCCACTCCCGTTTACATATGCCCTTGCATTGACACGGACGCCTTCTTCCCAGCTGTTGCAGCTTTCCACTTTTCACCCCTTCCTTCTCTTATTCCCTCTCCCCTTTTCCACTGCAGATGTCAAAGCTGTCCTGAACTTTCCCTGCCGTCTAACCCAGGTACCTTGCATCTCCCTTCACCCGATTGCCAACCCAGAACTGTTCTGGGAAAGAAAAGGAACAAGAAAAGCCTATGGTGAAGTTTCCCTCATCTCTGATCATTTCCCACAGATTCATCTCCGGATTATGGCATCATCCTCCCCACTGATCTCTTTCCTCTCCATTTTCTGAATTTTTATATTGTAAAGAAATAACCTAGATACTCTCTAGGCTACTGTTTCTCCCTAAAGTAGCCACACCGTATTTCAGTCATGTATGTACTGGAAGACATACCATTATCACCTATGTATTGCCTTTTTATTAATCTTTTTTTTGGGTTTGGATTGTTCTAAGAATTTGATAAAAACCGTGGATTCTCTCCCCGGGGGGGGGGATAATGCTCTTATGCCTATATACACTCCTGAGAGGTCAAGATGAGGATAGAAAAATATTCATTGTGTTTAGTAGCAGGGAGGTCACTACGTCCACAGCAAGAATTGACATGTGGTGATTGTAAGCAAGATTGGAGTATGTTGGGGTGACCGGTTAGCTCAGTTGGTTAGAGCGTGGTGCTAATAACACCAAGGTTGTTGGTTCGATCCCTTCATGGGCCACCGTGAGCTGCGCCCTCCTTAAAAGAGTCAACTATGCCATCGTAGCATGAAAGCAATGTGTAACAAATGACCATGACTGTTCCTCAATAAAAATTAAAAAAAAAAGACTGGAGTATGTTGAGGAGTGAGTGGGAGGGAGTTAAGGAAATAAAGAGAGAAACTATAGACAACACTTTTGAAAATTTTACTGTGATGTGAAGGGAAAGAGGACAGCAGATGGAGGGAGTGAGAGAGGGTTTGCTTTATTTTTACATTAGCATAAATGCTGATGGAAAGGGCCAAGTTGAGAGGAAGAGGTTGAATATATACAGGAGAAAATCAATATAGAAACAATGTAAGGTTCCTGTGAAGACAGGAGGAAATGGAATCCAAAGTACAATAGACTTTTGTGGGTAGCCACCATATATAACATTGTTTCTGGGGTGGTGAGAGTGGTGGAATGCAATTTAGACTCTAAATAAGTGACTTATAAATGATCCTTTCTGCTGCTGCCATTTCATTAGTTGTAAGAGTTTAAGGGTTGTCAGTTTTGCCAATCATTTCCCAAAATAAAAGAGGAGATGGAATGATATGGTAGACTGCAGGAGCCCCAAACTTGGCTCAGATCTTAAAATGTTAGATGACCTTGAGTCACTTGTTCATGCTTCACCTATAAAATTTAGAATTTAGGCCTAGCAGTATTTGAGAATGTGTTGAAAGGCAGTGTTTTGGTTGTTTTGGGGGTGCCATTGGTATTTGGTGCCAAAGACCAGTGATACGGATGGTCCTGTAATACACAGGACAGATCGTTACAACAAAGAATTGTCCTCCTCAAAACTGGTAGATCTCCTGATGAGAAATCATGGACACAGGTGGGTGACCTCTTAGGACATTTCCAGCAACGTGGTTAAAATTATCTAAGGAGTTACAATAAATTAATTGCTGCTTTCAGGCCTTTGAGAGTCTTTGAAATCTCACGGACAACCCTTTGGTTTTTCTCAATGTGGGCAGTGGGTTGGCTCGTTATTGACTGTTTAGCCAACTTTTGGACGGGGTGCTCCAGCTACCATATGCCAACCAAGACTGAGAAATACAGGTTTGACTTATCTCCATTCTTTTCCTTGTATTTCAGGTACTATTGGGATTTTCAGCCCCAAGGTGAGTCCTCTTTGACCATTTATAGTTTTACAGTAAAAATGTAGTGATGGTGTTGTTTACTTCTGTCTCTTCTAAATAAGCATCTCCACAGAGCGGCATTAGCCATTTCTGAGGAAAGTTAGTGGAGTGTTTAATTAACCTTCACCCTGCTGGGCCCCCCTGCCCTGCTTTTTATCAACAAAAGGCTCTGATGCTTCTGCTTTCTGCGTGGATTGGTGCTAGATTATCTTGTAGAACTAAAGCTATAATATGCTGTTTTAGTCCTTGAGTTTTGTTAGATGCCAACAGGATCCACTAGCATGCAAATAAAATGGTGGCCGAGTCCATAATAAAAACCTTGGGAGGACTCCAACTCAGCTAATCCTTCATTTACTCCAGGAATAAATTCCAGTATGTTACCTCCTCAATCACAGTGCTCTTCCGCATAGCCTGCCTGTCTGGCAGCAGGGAAATGTCAGAAATGGAGCAGTGTTGCAATTCCCACTAGAACAGTGTTATCACATTTTAATATGAGCCTCACTGAAGCCTCGGTGCTTCTAATTGCTTTCAAACCATTGTTTTCCTGCTTTTGCTTGATGAACCCAGCATCTGGCATGATTCTAAAAAGTACAACAGACAGCTGTGTGCAAGATTAAAAGAAAAAAATGGACAGGATTAGAACACATTTTTAAAAGGTTCAAAACTGGGGTATTTTTTTTCTGAATTCAAACAGTGTGAGGGGGTGTCTTTAAAGTATATGCATTCCTTCTTTTCAGTACTGTAGTTGAGAATGTCTAAAACATCATGCTGAATGTTAATCATTTTATTATAAATGGAGATTTTTATTTTCTCAGATAATCACAAGGGTATTAGACCAAATGTGCAACTAGTTTATGAACAATTTTGCTCTATAACCTTTTTAACCAATTGTAAATTTTCCCCATACTTTTTATTCTTAATATTGTCAATGTATCCTGTTTCAGGGAACAGTAATACCTTAAAGAAATTTAAATTGTGAATGATAATACTAGTTTTATTAAAATTTTAATTTTTCTAGCGCACACTTTATTTTGGTGCATTTCAAGTCTATATAAGTTTTTTTTTTTTTGTAAAGCCAACGTTAAGAAATAAAAATCTTATATTTTTAAAGATTCTTGATTCTTGTAAGTTGAAGTGATACTATTGGGCTGTCGGAAAAGTCATGATGTATATTTTCTGTTTTTCATTGCAAAAATGTGTCATGACTTTTCCGACAACCCAATATTTATAATATTTTAAATTATGTGATGTGTTACTGTATGTCTCACTGTCCTAAAGCATTTATGGCTGCAAACATAGCTTGAGAATAGAGAATTATATGTGATAATGTAGCAGTTTGCTTTGCAAAATGTGAAATAATACTATTCAGGGAATGGCCCTATCGTTCAGGGTTTAACAGCTGCTAACCCAAATCCACAGGGGCCAGAACACAAATGTGAACTGGCAGAAATGAATGGAACTGTGAGGGTAGAATTAATTACTTAAAGGAGAAATAAAGAATTAGCGTCAGAGATGTGCTATAATAATATGTTGAGAAGAGAAAATAATTTTGGAGCTTAGCACAAGAGACTATCTGGGGCTAAAAAAGACAAAGGGCACATCTTACCAGATCCTTATAATAGCGGCATTGCAGTAATCTTCCAGCCCAGGGCAACTTCTGCACAGGCGTGCTCTCCTAGAGACAGGGCAGAGGTAGAGCAGCCAAGGAGACAATTGGAGGGAGTTTATTCAGAACAGAAAACTGTGTTTGCTTCTTGACAACGGTTGAATATATGAGCAAAGTCATTGCTCGCTTGGAAGTACAGTAAAACCTTGGATTTCGAGTCACTTGGTTTGCAAGTGTTCTGCAAGACAAGCAAACATTTCTAATACATTTTAAGTGGGTAAACGAGCGATGTCTTGTAATACGAGTAGTTTGTTTCCAGAATGAATTATGCTCGCAAACCAAGGTATTACTGTAAGTGTAAGGAAAGATCAAGTAGAAAAACCCATACGCGTGTGTCTTGCCCCCAGCCTTGCTCCTCCCTCGAAGACATTCTTTTTTTTGAAGGGAAGAGAGAGAATATCTTTTACCTTGTCCTTTTGATCAGGCATTCGTTGATTGTATACTTCAGAAACTGATATAGAATGGGTGGGAGTAATAGATGATGTATTATAGAATCGTACACTTGAAACCTATGTAGTTTTACTAACCATTGTCACCCCAATAAAGTTAATGTTTTAAAAAGTGGGTGGGAGTAGTAACAGGTCTATATAAGTTTCTAGGACAATTCAGGATAATGAAAAGAAGAGGAATATGTAAGAAAGGGAACAGCTGGCAGAACAATTTTAAAAGTCCTGGAAGACTAGGTAGTATTGGGAAGGGAGGGAGACAGGACCAAAATGATGATCCCAAGCTTTCCTAGCATATTTTTCTTTCCTAGCATTTTTATCTATGGCAGGATCCTCTGTGCAGGAATATAATGAGATGAATTTATTAACTCTGTACATTTGCCTAAATACACACTTGTGTTCTTCAGGATATTTGGACTAAATCAGGGTCTGGTGCCTGGAAGGAAAAAGGTCCTTAATTATAAAAGATCCTTTATTTATAAATCCCTTTAGTAGCACACATTTAAACATCTGTTTATGGTGATGATTCAGTACAATGCGATGAAAGGGTAACCTTTAAAGAAAGACGTAAAGAACCAGAGTTTTTCTTACCCATTATTCCATTCAATCCCAGGTTTAATGTGCTGGAGGAGTAACCATTTGAATAGTACTAAGGAGAGTCTTGTCCTTGCTCTGGAGAAGAAATTGGCATGGTAGAAAGAGTGTGGATGTTGAGGCTTGACAGACTGAGTTCAAATCTGACCTATAGCATTTAGTTAAAGGTCATATGACCTTAGCAAGTGGCTTAATTTCTCTGAAGCTCGGCTTCCTTATCTATAAAATGGGGATGTGCCAGAACCTGTGCTAAGTTCTTAACGTGTATTATCTCATTTAACCCTCAGAACAGCCCTATGAAATAAGTACTGTTAATATATTCAATGACAGATTTGGATACTGAGACACAGAGAGGTTAAAGTCGTGCCCCTCAAAGATTCTAACTCGGTCAGTCTGACTCCATAGCATACTCTCTTTTTAAAAAATATGTAACAGCTTTATTGAGACATAATTCACATACCATAAAATTCACCCTTTTATTTTTTTATTTTTATTATTATTTATTTTTATTGTTAGTTTCAGGTGTACAGAACAATGCAATAGTTACCCTTTTCACCCTCACAAAGTAACAACCCCCCTCCCCCCATCCACTACCCTCCCACCCCCGATATCATGCTTATCTATTACAATTCCATTGAATCCGTTCCCGCACTCTACTCCATGTCCCGAGGTTATATGTATATATAATTATAGTTGACATACAGTATTATTCAACATCAGTTTCAGAAATACAATGTGGTGGTCAGGCCTCTACATCAACTATGAAGTGGACTCCCCAAAAGGACATGGGTCCATCTGGCCCCCTTCACCCTTTTAAAGTATACAACTCAGCAGTTTTTAGTATAGTCACCGAATTGTGTAGCCACCACCACCACCTTTTAATTTTAAAATATTTTCTTCACCCTAATAAGAAACCTCGTACTCATTAGTAGTTCCAGAGCTTATATTCTTCATCGCTGTATCTCACTGTCTCGTTGCAGGATTGTTATGAGGACCAGTAGTAATATGCGTAAGTCCTAGCGTGGTACCTGGGCATAGTAGACACTAAGAAAATTGATGATAGTGTTAATGGTGATTCTTTCCCTCACATTTCTACCAAGATTTTCTTATTGGTTCACCGTCAACTTCCTGAACAATGTTCATTGAAAAAGAATGAAAAATAGAGAAATAAAATATAATCTAAATGTTTATTACTGTAATTACTGTAATGTAGAAGGGACACAAATGGAAGAGCTTGTTAATGAGCTCAAATATTGGAGAACATGGGAAAGCCTTTATTTTTTTTAATAAAACATAGATTCCTTTGATAATTTCAATCCTGCTTACTTTAACAATTTTTTCTACTTCGTTTTTCACTTTGAGTTACAAAGAAAATTCATTGGAGTCTTCCATGGAACTTTTACCATTTCAGTACTCCAATATTTAAAAGATGGTATTGATCAGACATCTAAACAAAGATATTAGATTTGCCGTTTAGCTATGATGATACTATCACTTTATGGCATTGAGCAAACTGACTTACTTCATTTTTAGTTTCCCCTTTTATAAAATTAATTAATTATTGACAGTTATATTTTAATAAAAAATTGAAATAATAAAGTATAATGTTGATAATTAAAATTGTATTGCTGTAAAAACATGGTGAATATTAGAAAAATTGCCCACTATGGACCCAGGGTCTAAAACAAATGAAATATATTTAAATAAAAATTTAAGAAAGACTATGGAAATATTGAAAATATATATAACAAAATCCCATTTTTTGGGGTCCAATGGTCACTCACATTACATTTGTGATAGTGGTAAATATGAACCAGTGACATTCCCTGGCTACTTGAAGATTCTTTGAGTATCTGCATGGGTAGCATAGAGGGTTTCTGAGAAAATTATTCAGTATATTCCAATATGAAAAATTTTAACTGTGCAAATATTAGAAATCTTATTTTGAAATGGCAAGCCTATATCCCTTGTCAAAGTAAATTTATCCCTAAAAGTACAGCTTGTCAAAAGCAAACAGTGCAAAGTGAATAAGGAAAATGTTATTATAAAGCCACATTAACTATAGATGAAAAGAGATTTAAAAGAACCTTATTTGCATCCTGAGTCAAACAAACTATAAAAAGTGATATCTATGACAGAATTAGAAATTTGGACATTGATCGGATATTTTATGTTATTAAGAAACTATTGTTAATTTTTTAGGTGTGACAATGGTATTATGCTTATGTTTTTTTAAAAACGAGTCCTTATTTTACAGAGAGGAATGCTGTAATATT